CTGAGTCGGTGCAGTCTAAAAATAATAATAATAAAACTAAAAAATAAAAGCATACAGATAAATCTACTACAGAGGCAATGGCTGTGTGGTGACAGCCTGGTATGGGCTCTGGGGCCTCTCAGAGCCTGGCCCCTCTCCTGAAGCTGACAGCAGCCTGCTCCATGCCATCCCTGCCATGACACTCAGGCAGACAGCCTGGAGAGCCAGAGATGGTCTCTCTCTCCAGAACAAGGGGTAGCTTGGCTTACCTACTGTGGTAGCAGATTCCCATTCCCAAGCTCACAGCTGCTTCCCTGTGACACAATCCTTTATATATGATGTCACCTGGACCCCTTCAGCCCACGCCATAGGAGAGTACCCCGCCCCCTGCTCCTGACACTAACAAACACCCTGACCACTGCTACTGACATGACAAGGTATCCCTTGTCCCTGTCCCGGAAGGCCTCTGTCTTGGGCGACAGCCAGGACATCATTGTCATGGCACGGGTGGTTGGCCTGGCGAACCCCATATCAGAGAGCTGAGTGGGCTCCTTGGCTCTGCTCCGGCTCCAGCTTCCAGCCACGCAGACCCTGGGAGGCAGTGGCAACTCCTCAGCTGGCTGGGGTGCTGCCTCCATGTGGGAGACCTGGCCCGAGTTTCCCGCTCCTGCCCGCTTTTGACCTTGGCCATCATGATCATATGGGGAGTGAACAAGAAGGTGTGAACTCTGCTTCTCTCTCCACTTCTCAAAAACTAATTTTGAGATTGTTGGCTTGCAAACTACTTGAAATCTCCCCCTCCTCTTCCTCCTTCTCCTCCCAGTTTTAAGACGTGGTCTATGGCACCAACCAAGGATCAGAAAACACTGGTTTCTTTCCTGTTGAAAGGGGTGCCCAGGAGCCCTGGGATGCTCACCCTCAGGCTTATTTTCAAACTACATAAGAAAGGCATGTGCACTCCAGGCCACAAAAGAAATGCAGAAATGGGGTGGGGTAGGGAAGCCTGAAAACCACTTCATAGTTCCTCCCTACCATTTTAGAGAAACTGAGCTGTATCTCCTTGGTATCCAACCCTCTGGAATTTTCCCTTTAACAATCTGCAGACAGAAAAACAAGATGAACAGGATAATAATGCATATGGTATTTTCAAAGGCTCTCCTAAAAATACGGCACCTTTCTAAGTTGCTAACTGGATACTCCTACTTTATACAGCACCGTTGGCCTGATGTGCCATTGTCCAAACCACTCAATTCCCTGCTTATGAATGTTTAGCTGGCTATTCTAAACAACTTTGCAACGAATATCCTTATTTGCTCATTTTAGTGCAACTTTCCAGTGCTTTGGATACATTCTTGAGAGTGAAATTACAAGCCCAGAAATAATTAAAACAATAAACATATGCATAGCGTTGAACTCATGCCATACACTGTTCCAAGCACTTTAAACACCAGTTTCTCAGATCTTTACAACATCTCCCTAGAAGGAGCCCTTGTCCCCTTGTGTCCATTTCACAGAGCTGAAAGAACCTGCCCCAGATCACAACCCGCCTCACTCCGGGTGACTGCTTGCCTTACATTTTTACTGCCTATGAATTCATTCGAGAGAGAGTGCCAGAAACAGAAATACAGGGAGTTAGAGCTCTCATCTACTGCCTCAACTGGGGCCAAAATCAAAACCTGGAGTTCCGACCAGGTGGCAGAAAGCCAATTACCTGAGCCAGCACTGCTGCCTCCCGGGGGCCTGCAGTTGCAGCAGGCAGGAGCCGAAGTCAGGGACTCTGCTGTGTCACTGGCTGTGAGTCACGAAGCCGAACAGCCAGCCCACCACCTGCTGCCAGTGTCCTGTTCATCTCTCCCAAGACCCAACCAGGAACTGGCACGGAGAACTGTGGGTCTTTGGTTTTCGTGTCCCTTATGCATTGAAAGGCGGCAGCTAAGCCCTCTGAGCACCTCTCCTGTCCCATGGGTCTGTCCCAGCCTTGCTCCCTGGAGCAGGATAAGGCATCCTGATTATTGTCCATCCTGGCTTTCTCACCCCTCCACCCTGCCACCTGTCACCATCTCACCTTCCTCCCTTTACCCTGTTTAGGCTGTTTAGGGTCTCCACCCCATCTGAGGTACAAAAACTCAAAAAGTTCATAGAAAACAGAGTCCAAAGGTAAGCTTTGTGTGGTACCCAAAACCCGAAAAATCCACAGAGGTGGCCTCGCCTGTCGCACACATTTCCTGTAAGTTGCTTTGAAGACTCTGCTGAGGGTGTCTTCTGTTCCTTCCCCCTTTGAAAGCCCAGCAGGTGCAAATAAACACAGGAGGGAACGGAAGGGCAGGGCGAGAGCTCACCAACGGGAACTTTCTGGAGCCTTCCTCACTCTGGGGCAGCTGCCGTCCTCACCAGCTCCCCCACCCAAGCAGAGCCCAGGGCTTGGAGGGGAAGCGGTGGTGACCTGGTAATAACCAGTGCACCAGCAAACGCTGCAGCACCCAGGACCTGAGCATCCTCCTTCCAAGGGCACCACTGGTCACAAGAGACCACAGGTGCAGCGCCCCCACTCCTGCAGGCTAACACAAGCTGGCTCCTCCACCATCAAAAACTGCATTCTGCTTAACACCTAGCAAGCACTTCGCTCTGGGGATAAAAGATGAGTGATTTTAACTTTTGCTAATAAGCATTTTCTAGTTTTTAAAAATAACAGGTATGTGATAGAATCTCTTTCAATGATATACACTTTTTTCATCTTTTTCCAGTTTGAAAGCCCAAGAGAGAGAGAGAACCTCTACCCAACTGTTCCTTTGCCCCAGTACCACACAACAGCAGGAATTGGGTCAGGCTGCAGCCAGGGAGAGCTGGGAACCTAGTCTCCAACCAGAGTGGCTGCAACTCAGGTACTTGAACCTTCGTCAGGAGACGTCCCAGGGCACAGCATAGAGGAAGCTGGAGTCTGCAGCACTCCAACCTACACTGCGGGACGCCAAGACGCACTTGAACTGCTGCAGCAGCCGCCTCTGCCCCTTTAACTTCTCGTCCGCACAAGTTCAAACACAGGCAGCCCTCTGTACCCACGGGTTCTGCCTCCACGAATTAACCGACCACAGATGGAAAAAAAAAAATGCAGAGAACACGGACACACTGCTTTTCTTGTCATGCTTCCCTCTGCAATATGGTGTCATCACAGCTTACACAACATTTACAGGATCTCAGCCAGTACCGTAACAGAAAGACGATTCAAAGCACACGTAGCTCACGGGTAAACATGGCATTACTGCCTGCTAGGCCTTGAACACCTTGCAGCTGGGCATCCTCTGAGGCCCGGAACCAATCCCCACGGCTGCCCTGGGTGACTGAGCAGCGAGAGCCCTGGCAGTTAGCAGCCAAGCCCAGATTCCCAGCCTTCTGCCATTCTCACCTCCTTCCCTCTCCAGCCATTCCTCAGCTCCATGGCTTGTTACAATGTATTATGATTCTCTTTATCTTTGTGGCAAAAGTTAAGAGAATGCACCAGTAGGAATGGCAGTTTTGATCCAGTCCACACCCCATCCTGATATAAAATGCTCTTGTCTCAGTGGCCAGTTCATTTACTGCCCTCCCAGCACATCACACACACACACACACACACACACACAGAGGAAGTCACCATTGTCTTGTGTTTGAACTTGAGTTCATTTTACCTGCTCTAGAATGTCAACTTAGGTACTTGGACTGTCACCCGTGGCCTCATAGGAAGCTGGAGACAGGGGCAGGACCAGAGCCAGGTACTCCAACATGGGACACTCAGCATTCTAAGTAGTGTCTTCATTGCTAAGCCAACACCTGTTACAAAGCCAATGTGTACTCCAAAAACCAGTGGTCCTAAAACATGCTCATGGTTTCCCTCCATGTGGGTGGGCTTGGAAAATGCTAGGCATTGGATTTCCAATTTAGAGATCTCACTGCCCAATACAGACTGCGAGAGACAACAGAATGGCAAACACTCATCCCCTCTGTCCACACCCAGGAGCGACATGCACTGGGCTGGGCCATGTAGCTTAGTTCAATAAGCAGGGAGTTCAGGGCTGGCATTGTGGCATAAGAAGCAAATTCCTGCAATACTAGCACCCCACATGTACGGTGGCTCTTGTCTTGGCCACTCCACTGCTGTTCCAGCTCCCTGCTAATGTGCCTGGGAAAGCAGTGGAAGATAACCCAAGTGCTTGGGTCCCTGCCACCGATGTGGGAGACCCAAATGGAGTTCCTACACTCCTGGCTTTGGCTTGGCCTACTCCTGGACACTGTGGCCATTTGGTAAGTGACCAGTAGATTTTATGACTCTGATTTTCAAACAAATCTTAAAACCAAAAATAGCAGAGTTAGGACCCAAATCCAGGCCCTCTGCCACAGGATATAGGCATTCTACATAGTCTAAACTGTGCCATCAAACACTTACCCTGTGCAAGGTTTTCCCATAACAGTCCTTGTATATGTGGCTTTCAAGATGTCTTTGCACCAGAATAAATTCATGTTTGCATTCTGCTTTTTGCAATCAACTTTTTTTTTTTGAAGATTTGTTTATTTGATCAGAAAGGCAGATTTACAGAGAGAAAAACCTTTCGTCTGCTGATTCACTCCCCAAATGGTCATAATAGCCAGAGCTGAGCTGATCTGAAATCAGGAGCCTCTTCCGGGTCTCCCATGTGGGTGCAGGGTCCCAAGGCTTTGGGCTGTCCTCAACTGCTTTCCCAGGACACAAGCAGGGAGCTGGATGGGAAGTGGAGCAGCTGGGACACGAACTGGTGCCCATATGAGATCCTGGAGCTTGCAGGGGAAGTATTACCCAATTCAGCCATTGCACCAGACCCTCTCTCAAACATTTTGAAGCCCCCTTGTAGGATGTGTAGAGAAGAGAGGGGGTGCCAGCGTAGAGCGTAGCCTACAACTGGTCCTGCAATTATCTCCTTGACGCCCGGGGAACTGCCCCGCTCTGCCTGAGAGGCCAGGGCTGCTTCTCCCCACCCTTCTCCTGAGCCATGCACAGGACCTGCACTCACCACCTGCCTGCCCTATCAGATCCAGGGGTCGAGGAGCATGAGACCAGGATTTCCCACCGCCTGCTGCTCTGATCCTGTAGTGGGTGTTAGGCAACCGAAGCTGGTTCCCACAAGGGTTCCCAGATCTGTAAGAAACAGAGGCAGCATTCTTTAGCTTTTCGTTTCCTTCGGTTGGAGGCTCTTATTTATATTTCACAGAAAGCATGTGGGAAAACAGTGATAAAAACAACACACTTGACAGTGATGACATACAAATAAAATGATCAGAATCTGATTTTCAGAAGCAGCAGTCCTCAACAGGAGGTGTAACCCAGCCATTAGAATCTTCCGGCTCTTAGAGTCTTGTAAAGTACCCACAAGGCCAAGATTACTCATCATATTGTGGATTAGACCTACTAACTTTTCTCTTTGGAACCTGCTTAATATGCTAAACATGCCTGAAGGCTGTGAAAACAAAAAAGTTCTATTTCCGTTTCTTTGTTTTAAAAACATTTATTTAATTATTTAATTGAAAGGCAGAGTTAGACACACACAGATATTCCATCTTCTGGCTTACTCTACAAATGGCTAAAACAGCCAGGCTGGGGTTAGGCCAAAGCCAGGGGCCAGGAGCTTCTTCCAGGTCTCCCACGCTGTTACAGGGGCCCAAGCACTTGGGCCATCTTCCACTGTTTCCCCAGGCATGTCAAACAGGGAGCTGGGTTAGAAATGGAGCAGCCAGGACTCAAACCTCCACCCATATGGAATGCTTGTGCTGCAAGTAGCAGCTTTACCTGTTCTAACACAATGTTAGCGTCAAACTATTAGTTTCAACACATTTTTGACTGTCCCTACACACACACACACACACACACACACACACACACACACACACTATAGCTTTATTTTCATGTGTTTCAAATATTTTGCAAAACCTTGAAATGATCCTCATCTTATGGGAAATTTACACCATAAAACCTAATTGGAAAAACAGCTCTGTTATCCAATAGGCAAAATCAGGCATAATTCCTGTTCAGAAGATGCTGGCTCTGTATAAAACCATAGGAATGACACTGCATTCCTGGGCGCATTTACTCAAAGATCAACAGGCTGGGCCTGTGTGGAGCCCTGAGTCTTGCCTTGAATTCCACACTTGGATGAAGCAAGGGACCTCCACCGTGGGACGCTCTCGCCACTGGGTCACAGCAGCATCACCACAAACATGGGGCCTCAGCAAGCTGGCTGCAGGGGACAGAGGTCTCACTGTCCTGCTCTCACCCCATCTGCCCCTGAAGCCAGGACACTGACTCCTGGCTTGGCCCGGCCCAGTCCTGCTGTTGCATGCACTGGGGCAGGGTGAGGTGGGGTGGGGGTTCAGGGGATGAACCAGCAGGTAGAAGATCTCTTTTTCTCCCTATCACTCTGCTTTTCAAGTATACAACATAATTCTTTAAAAACAAGATCCTTGCTGACCTCCTCCCTCCCTCCCAGTGGACATCGGAATCCCTCCCCCGCCTGCCAGTGTCACTGCGGGGCTTACACGGAGCAGGGCCGTGTGCCAGCCTCTTGCTCACTTGTGTACAGGGGTTTCAGCCTCTGAGACCCTCACATGGGTGACAAACATGTCCTGTCTGCTCCCATCAGTCCAGTGCTCTCCCAGGCCGGTGGTCCCACTCTGAGGTGCTGGAGGGAGAAGCTCCTGGCTCAGACCAGCCTATCTCCACCACCTTCCTGAGGGGCCTCAGGCGCAGTGTCCACAGCCATGTCCCTTGCCCTGTGGACTCCTACAAGTGGGCTGTGCTGCCCCTTCGTCTGCTGCCCAGAGCCACATTGACAGGCCGGTTGCACCAAGGCATACACTTCTTCTGGAAGGTAAGGAAGGAGTAGGAGCCAACTGCTCCCTCCCCAGGTGCCCTGTTGGGCAGCCCACTCCCAGGAGCGCACACACAGGATCTGAAACAAGTCCCCCCCCTGCAAGCACGAACTCAGGAGTGCAGGTACAACTTGTGCTCACTCTGCCTCAAGCACAGGAGCCGCGTTTTGTCATGCTCACATTCATATTTAAAAAGAGAGACTTCCCCAGGTTTTTTATACATATACATAATTTATTGTTACATGAAGAAGTCACAAAGCCAAACGGAGTTGGACAGGTGTCAAAGATAAACTGAGAACGTACTTTCTGTCAAATACTATTCAGGATGTCTCAAGGTTAGAGCAGGCGAGGAAAGGCGAGGCATTCATTCAAAGGCCATCCTCTGGGAAGGACGGTGATGGGAAAGGAAGAAGACTCCTGTGGGGAAACACAACTCATTGCTACTCCATGCAAGCCATAAGTTAAGAGACGAAACAAAAAGCTTTTAAATTCACACATAAACCTGTCTCCTGGATACATTTCGGAATGTTAGTTTCTCATGTGCTTACAAAAAAAAAAAAAAAAATTCCACCTTGCACACGAATAGGAATTGGCTCTCAACTGACACGGGGTTCCCATGGCCTCCACACAACTTCCTTCCCTGTAGCTCATGGCAAAGCAAGGTTGGAGGAAAATCAAGGATGAGAAAGACCCGCTCGGACCCCTAGCACATGACTTCACCCAGAAACACCTGCCGCTCCACGCGCCTGACACTTTCACAGCCACTTGCAGCTTCTCCCGTCACATCTTCTCGACATCTGGAATGCTTTGCCTGAAGTTAACATTGTCATTCAATGACCGAAAAACAAGGAGGAATGCCCACCAGTTTCTAAAGGCATCTCACAAAGTCAAGGCCAAGCCCAGCCTCTCCTCTCTCCTTGCCCCCAGGTATCTGTCAAGAAGGCTGTTCTGTGGGCACCCTGGGTGCTCCATGGGGGCAGAGCAAAGCTGTGGAAATTCTCCTCCTAGGATCCAGAAATCTCACTCCCTACTTGACTGCAGACACCATGACACCAGATACAAAATTCCATTCTTCTCCGTAAACGCTAGGCAATCTGGTCTGTTCTTGCTTATGCAAGAAGCATGTGTGGCCCTAAGGAGCCCATGGGGTTGCCAGTGCCCCTGTCAGATCCTCCCCCTGACACGCTTGCCACAGGGATGCCGACTGCAGGTGGGCTCTATGTCAGGGGTGCACCTGTCCGGGGGCGGGTGGGGGAAGGAGACGCATCTTGTGGAGGGAACCATTGCCAGCCACCGTGCACAGAGCATCCCAGGGCTTGGCTCTCTCCAAGCCGCCAATGACTTCTAAATGAGGCGATGATCATTGCACCTGCTGTCCTGCCCACCCAAGTCCCCGCTGGGAAGGAGGGACAGTGGACAGGAGAGCTGATCCCCTCCTCCTTCTGCTTTCAGGGCAGGTGGGAGGCAGCCACAGCAAAGGTCACCCTCAGCCTTCCCCTTGATTCAGAGGCAGCCAAAGGACATGCAGGCAGTCTGTTCTCAACAGGAAGTCACCTGCGACCTGCCATACATGAACATCACAGGAGAGGGTAAGGGGTACAGCTGGGAGGTGCAGAGAAGGGCTCTCTGGCTAGCACCTTCCCGGGCCCTAGGGCCATCCCTGCCTCTGCAACCTGCTGGGCTGAATTCCCAGTTTGGGAGCATGCTTGGGTCACACCCCACTCCACCACCATCACTTTCCCTATACAGCGCTACAAAGAAATGCACACAGCCCCTCCAGCTACCCGGAGTGAGAGTTTGGGGGCTCACCACATCCTGATTTCACCTCAGCTGAGCCAGGGACAGGGGATTCAGGGGGATGCAGGGGACACGCCCTACATTTGAACTAGACCTAAGGCACCAGAGGAACTCCTCCGCAATCTTGATGCTACCAAAGTCTAAAGAAGCCAGCTGACCCAGAACACAAGTGAGGCTTGGGCTTGGTCCCGGTTCCCCTCATGAGGTCCCAGCAAAGAGTTTTTCCAAAGCCTTCTTTCTTCTACAATGCTGTCTTCACTCCAAAGAGCCCTCCACTACACTGTGTGAAGGAAAAAAGGGCCAAGCATTTGGTAACTTCCGAAATACCTCTCTGGAGGCGGACCTGAGCCTGCCGTGCTCCCTCGTGGCCAGAGCCTGTGCTCAGCACCCTCCTGAGGACAGGAGCCCGGACAGAAGCCGCTGCCCCTAGTGGGGGCCCCGGGGCCCAGGGCAGACCCGACCTTTGCTGCTGTTGTTTTTTAAGGCTTCTTACATTGTGGTTCTGTGCTGTCTGTTGTTGTTGGATTACCATGAGAAGGATTGTTGAGAAATCTGAAAGTTTTCATTCATAGGAGATACAGATGGGAATGGAATGAAAACAAGATCCGCATAGATGAACCGCATGGTGTCCCGCTGCACTGAGTTGGCACCCCGCAGACACACTCTTCCCAGCCCGGGGACTCTTCCACGCGCTCCTCCTCAGCACAGTCAAGGAAGGACGCTCCTTCCCCCTCCTGCCTCAAACACTGCCATTGTCCTTTGGCTCCAGTTACCTTTTTATTTTTCTTATCAGATTATGACCGTGGGAAATGACTGCAGCAATCCAGGAAAGACATTTCTTTTCTTAAAAAAAGTCAGAAAACTCAGGACCACAAACTGCGCGCCTCGGTCCTCGGGACAGGCAGCGTTTTTTTTCTTCCTCTTACTCAGGCTGTGCTTGAATCTCAGGGTCAGATTCCCGCCAGGGTGGCGAGGCCCACCCACCCCCAACCGGGTGGTCCACGTGGCCTGCGTTCATCCGAGTCAGCATTCATCCGAGAGGCAGTCGCTGCCCAGGAACTCCGCAGCCTCGAGCTCCACGCTGGACAGAAAGCGTCTCAGCTTCTTGTGGCAGTTGTAATCCAGGGTGGTGGTATAGACGGTCTTGGGGTATTTGGGGTAGACGATGGTGGTGCTGAGGAAGCGGGTGGGTTTGTGGCGGGGCTCGAAGCGCACCTCAGCCTTGTAGTTGCGCCATGTGCAGTTGGGGACGCAAGTGACCGTCTGGCTGCAGGAGGCCACGGCCAGGCCCAGGGGCAGCTGCACGTCATCGATGAAGTGCCTCTCTGAGTCATACTTGACCGAGGACGTGTACCTGGGCAGGAGACACAGGGTAGCATGAGGCCTTGGGACCATGTGGCAGCGGGGAGGGACGCTCCAGAGAGAAGCTGCTTGGGGCTTGGGAAGCCCCTCCCCTGAGTCTGCATCCCCAAGTCCCTGAAGGACAATGGCAGAGTCTCTGTATTCCCTCCTCCCGACACTCTCTAGCTGACAGGATGTGCTCAGAAGCCTGGTCCCACGGCCTAGGAAGTCTGAGCATGCTCAGTACAGTTTTCTTCAGTGGATGCTTGAGCTGGTGGTGTCAGACCTGCCCGGACTCACGGTGGTGTCTAGGTACAACTGGTGTCTAGGTACTCATCACCCCAGTAGCTCTGTAGGGGTGAGGCCCCCAGGGGCATGGCAGCTGCCACAGGCCACAATGGAGCCGGTGTTGGGGTCTGTCTCTTGCTGCTGCTTCTCCTAGGTACCCAAGCTCTGGGTCCTTGGCCCAGTTTCCCAGCCTTGGTCTCTTCCTTCTACAAGAGTTCCTGGTATTAAGTGAGTGGAACTAACACAGAGCAAGGAACTTCAAGAAATTCATGCAGACATGGGCGGGTGGCCCAGTGACTTCCCATCCAGCTCCCTGCTAATACACCTGGAAGGCAGCAGAAGAGGGTTCAAGTGCTTGGCTCCTGCCACCACAGCAGCGAAGAAGCTCCTGGCTCCTGGCTCTGGCCTGGCCCAGGCTTGAACATTGCAGCCATTTGGGGAATGAACCAGAGGATGGAAAATTCTCTCTCACCCTGCCTTCCAGACAACTAAGTCAATCCTTGAGAAAAAAAATTATTACAAAGCCAGATATACAGCCTATTGTATGAATAAATAAATCCTTGAAAGGAAAAGTTCACAGAGGGGCAGGCACTTGGTGCAGCCACTAAGCCTTCCCCGCACCCTATGTCCCCATATCAGAGTGCTTGGGCTGAGTCTAGGCTCTGTTTCAAGTCCCTGCTTCCGGCTACAGCACAACCTGGGAAGGCAGCAGATGAGGGCTCAAGTGCTGGGTCCCTGATCTCCATTGTGGGAAACCTTGATGGAATTCCTGGCTCCTGGCCTCAGTCCTGGATGACTGGCATCTGGGGAGGGAATTAGCCCATGGTTTTCCTGCTTTTCAAATAAACAAAAATCAAAAAAACAAGGCTTAGAAAAAGTTCAAGGGAAAATGGAATTTAAAGACAAGTTACTTTAGTGTCAAAAAAATTAAATCCATGCAGATGAGGGGTTCTCTAGAAGTCCATGGCAGGGTTGGTATTATGGTAGAACAGGTAAAGCCACACCTGCAAAGCTGGCATCCCATGTGGGCACTAGTTCATGTCTGGCTGTTCTATTTCTGATGCAGTTTCCTGCTTGTGGCCTGGGAAAAGCAGCAAACGTTGGCCCAAGTGCTTGGGGGACCCGGAAGAAGCTCCTGCCTTCAGTCTGCCCTAATGCTGTCCATCTGGGGAGCAATCCAGCAGATGGAAGATCTTTCTCTCCCTTGTTCTTTCAAATACATTAACCTTAAATAAATTAACTATAACTTTCAAATAAATTAATCTTTAAAAAGAAGCTCATGGCAAATATCTACTATTTAGAAACTATAAATTTCAAAATTATTTTCACATCCAAATAAACCCATACTTTATTTTCCATGAACTTTTTGAAGTCCCCTTGTTTAAAGAAATGACTTCCACTGCTCTAGCAGGAGCAGTTCTTTAATGAGAGGATGATGGAATGCAAAGAAGAAAATCCTGAATGCTGGGGCAGGTACTGAGGTGCAGGACTAAGCTGCTGTGTGGGACGCGGGTATCACACTCCCTGCTAATGTGGCCCACACAGCACCTGTACGCACATGGAGACCTGGAGGAGGTAGGATCTTCCTCAGCTGCTGCAGGCATGTGGGGAATGAACCAGCAGATCGATGGATCAAGCTCTCCCTCTCTTTCATTCTACCTTTCAAACAAATAAATAAATCTTTGAAAAAAAAAAAAAACCCCAAACAGGAATTCTCGAAGCTTGACCACATCTGACATTAGTTCTTGGCTGGGGCTCACCTCGAACCCAAGCACTCAAGGAGCCTAAAGTGATCGGTGAAAGCCAAAAGCCAAAGATCATCTGGACCTCCACCAGCATTCTAAGTCCTTCCTTGGGGGTCTAGGGCTCACTTCTCTGCACTGCTACACAAGACGCAGGCATGCGCTGCCCTGGTGGGAACTAAGAGGAAGGTGAAGCGCTTAGGAGACCCTCTGCGTTCCGCAGCCCAAGCTCCAGCTCAGAACCCAGGGGCAACCCAAGGCTACTCTCCCCTGACGGCTCCCTCAGTTCCCTGAGGGGTTCACTCGCAGGAAAAGACCCCCCTCTGCCAGCCAGGGTAGGTTCCGAAGCAGGGAGGCAGCAGGAACCACTTCTGGCAGAGGAATTCACAATCATGAAATGTCCAACCTGCTGGCCCTGATCAGTGCAGCGCAACCTGCCAGAGCAGATGCCTTCAGTTCTATCTTTTCTAAAAGTACGTCTGTGTGCTTCATTGGGATGCAGGAAGAAGAAATCCAAACGTGCCCCCACAACTCTTTTAATAACAACCATCCACGACACCGGGAGTAAAATGCAAGTTGTGAGAGAATACAGTTGGGCCCTGGTGTATTTACCTTACTTCCTTTGGTGGTAAGGGATCAAACTCCACTCCTTCGCCGAAGGACAGTGGGCAGAGCCTCGGTGAGCAGCCGGTGGCCGGGGTGCTGGGGACAGATGCCGGATTCTTCCAGGACAAGGAGAAGGCAGTTAGAGTTACCTCAGGCCATGTCTCCCTCCCCACTATAAGGCCAAGCCCCAAGGGCTGAGCCATTCCCAGAACAAGCACAAGACTGGGGGCCTGTGAGGTCTGGGTTCAGATCCCCAGTGTTGCCGTCTAAGTCGGCAGGAGTTTCTTAGCTCCAGCCCTGACCCTGCCATACCACTGGGGGATAGTACTCCAAGTTCAGGCCAAGGGCATGACCCACAGACCGCCACTCCCCATGCAGCACCACCACTGTTGGCATCTCCATGACACTTGGAAGAGGTACCGGAGAAACACCACCCTGGGAGCTCTTCTCCACTAAAGACTCAGGGTGCTGTCCCCACTTCCTGGGAGGGCTCTCAGGTCAGCAACTCCCTCCCCCTGGCCAAGATGAAGGACGCCCGTTACACCCAACTCACGGCTGAGGTGAACCACACGCAGCCCTCGCTCCTGAAGCCAGCCCAAGCATCAGGAGCTCCAGCTCAGGGGTGACGGGCCAGCCTGGATGGGGAGGGCAGTCCCAGCCAAGCACAGAGTGCGCCCCAATATTCTGAGTGCTCATCTTTCCTTGGGTCAGATTCCAGAAAAGCAAAACCACAGGCGAGGAGAGACAGCTCCTCCCACCTCAGTTTCCAGGTTTACTGAGACAGAGGGAGACCCAGAAAGGACGCCAACAAGGAGAGACAGAGGGTCACAAAGGATCAGCTCGCCATCTGAGAGGACAGGTCAGGGGCCATTGTGGGCAGTGGCTGCTTGGAGCTTCTGGAAGCAGCCTATGACCATGACCCTGGCTCCCTCCCCCCCCCACACCTCCCCAACAGCAGGGAACAAGTGGAGACTGCAGGGACACAGCACAGCCTGCTCTCAGGGACCTGCTGAGCCTGTAACCTGCACCCACCTTGCCCCAGGCACACAGCTGGGGAGAGGGTGGGGCAGCCCCAGCCACACAGAGCCCTAAGGGGACTTGAGGGAGCCACAAACACCCCCTCCCCCCATCGCTCTGGGAAGTGTCAAAACAAGAGCTGATGTGGGCTGTGCATGGAGGGGCCAGCCAGATTCTGCTGGTAGAGGTACAGGGCCCCGGGGAAGGCCAGAGGAGAGATGAAGCAGATACACCCAGGGCCTGTGTCCCCCGGAAGGTGCCAGATGCACAGGGGCTAAGAAGGCCACCCTGGAGGCAAAGGGCAGACCAGCAAGGCTGGGGTAGCGAGGCCAGCGTGCCCCCTCCCTACGGGGCCTTTAGGGACCACCACCACTTCCACACGTGGCTGAGGGCTGTAGACTTGTTGGGAGTTTAAGTTTAAAAAAAAAAAAAGATTGTAAAATAAAAAGATTAATACTAAAAACATTCTAGGCACTCCAAGGCTGACACCTGTGACACACTGACAGGCTGAGGTGGATGGACTGACAGAAAGTGCGGCCCGGAGCACACCCCCTTCCCGGGCCACAGTCCCCGGAAGGCAGCCTGGGGTCTTTCGCAGAGTCCCGAGTTCCGGGGTACGGAGCTCGCACGCGCCCGGCCCCGGCTCAGCTGTAACGTGGCCAGAGGCGCGCTGCCCGGCGACTCCTGGGGCGGCCACCCGAAGGGAGGAGACGGCGGCTCGCCTCTCCCCGGCTCCCGCGCCTCCCAGGCGATGACAATTTTCCAGCCACCGACTCCAGCTGGCCGGGTTCACGCGGCGCTCCCGCCCGTGCTCCCCGCGATGGCCACGCCGTCCCGACGGGCGGGCGGCGGCGGCGACAGTGCGTCCCAGACAGAGCGGTGCGGCCCGCAGTAGGTGTGAGGGGCCCTGCGAGGACCCTAGGACGGGGAAGGAGTCAGGGCCAGGCCACTCACCGGGGCCGCGGGGGTCGTCGCTGGGTCGGGCTCCAACGCCCCTGGGACCGACGTGCGCTCTCCGCCGCCGCCCCCGGACGCCGCGAGCCCCCAGTGGCTGGGACTGGGGCTGGGGGGCAGCCCGGAGTCCGGGCTGTCGAGGACGCCGTCGCCTTTCTTCTTGGTGTCCACGAGCTCTGGCACATCTTGTAGGCTCAGCCGACCCACCATGGTTGGGCGCGGGGTCGCGGGTCAGAGAGGGGCGCAGCCGCGAGCCGGGGCCGCTGCCCGTTTGCCCGTCCGCCCGGCCTCACTCCCTGCTCCGCCGCCCGCGCGCCGTCCTGGTCTCCCCGGCCGCCACGCTCCGGGGCCCGCCCTCCGCCTCGCCCCGCCCCGGCCCGCCCCGGCCCCGCCACCAGGCTCCGCCACCAGGCCCGGCGCCTGGGGCCGCTGCGCTCCCGCCGTGCGCCGCCCGCGCGCCGCCGAGTCCGCCCCCTCTCCAGACTGCTGCCGGGCGGACCCCGCGGCGGTCCCGGCGTGGCGACCCCCACCCGCCACAGGTGGACACAAGGACCCTGCCCGTGCCGAAGCCTGGGAACGCACGGGCCCCTCGCCTTTCCCCACGGGGCGGGGAGGCGCTAGTACCCGGGTGGGCAGACCAGGCGTTCAGGCAGCGGGGAGCCGGGGCAGAGGCGGCCCCAGCGAGCTCACAACTGGAAATTATTAATAGCTAATGCACTTCGGCTGGTTCTAGTCACTGCGGGCTCACGGGGCGGACTCTGGGCGCTCTCAGCAGCCTGGAGGAACGAGGGTCCACTCCTGGACTCCCCGTCTAGGTGTTTGGTCCCACGCACCCGGCGGGGGTCGGGGCGCAGACCCCCATGAGCTTTGTCAGGGTTGGGGCCCACAGTGAGATGTAGCCCTGGGCAGCCCTTTCCCCAGAATTAATGGAGAAGCCAAGCCGATGCAGTGGCTGCGGGCTGTGGGGAGGGGCTGGCTGCTTGTTCCCTGAGTCAGCACCTTTCCTCCCATCCCCCAGCCACCAGACCCTGGGGGTTCCCATGGGGTCCCACTAAGAGCCTGGAGATGGAGTGGCACCCAGGTGAGCACATCAGTCACAGCTCACAGGAGCTCCTGTCCTGGGTCAGGTCTCCAGCTGCTCTGTCTACTGCTGGGGGCAACCCTGAGAAGCTCCAGGCAAGTGGGCCAAGCTTGCTCCTCTCCCCGGGCCCTTTGGGGAGAGGTGGACAGCGAGGCCGGCCGCTTTTTCTTCCTGTTCTCTCTGCTCTCCTAGCCGGGGAGAGGGTGTCAGTGCCCACCAACGGAGTCAGGTCTACAGTGGCCTGGCTGGAGCCAGCCTTGCCCGGAGTGTCTGGGTTGGGTTCCCAGCTCTTGCTCCTAGCCCAGCCTCCTGCCAGTCCACACTGGGAGGCAGCAGTGAATGGCTCAAGTCATTGTGTCCCTGTCACCCATCCATCCATGAGGGAGACCCAGATGGAGTTTCTTGCTCCAGCCCAGCCCAGCCCAGTCACTGCTGGCATCTGGGGAGCAAATCAGCAGATGGGAACGCTCTCTCTGTCTCTTGAAATATGTAAACAAAAGCAATCCCCCACCCACCCCCACCACGGGCCAGGTACAGTCCTGGACAAATGTTTAATGCAGGAGTACACTAGAGCACTGCACCTCCCTGTCTCGGTTGAGCTCTCAGGCCTGGGCTCAGCGGAGGAAGCTCCCTGCAGAGTGTGTGGCTCTCCTGGTAAGAAGACTGTGTGTGTGTGAGTGTGTGTGTGTGATGGAGCAGCTTAGAGCAGTGCTGGCCTTCAAGGTCAGCAATCTGGATGGTAGAGGTGGTCACGAAAATGGAGGCAGTCCAGCTTCCAGGTGGGGGCAGCTCCTCTCCCTCCAGGGTAGGCTGCTGTGGAAAGGGGGGCAGGGATCTCATCCTGGGCCAGCTGGAGCCCAGCATGGTGACCTTCCCAGGGACATGCTGAGGGCTCAGGCTACCCAGAGCCAACACAAAGTACCCAGAGACATCCAGGTGCCTGCCTATGCTGGGGCAGCTTTGGAGGGTCCAGGTATCCAGGGAACACTTTGAAGACATCCCTCTACCGTTCTTCCTCCCTGTACTCAGGCACGTGACACGGGGCAGTGAATGGACAAGCCTCACAGAAGAGCAGATGCAGGTATGGGGCCCAACTGCCCTGAGGGCCCTGGTTAAGAAAACGAAATGGAGGATATGGCACAGTAGCCTAGTGGCTAAAGTCCTCGTCTTGAATATGCCAGGATCTCATATAAGCACTGGTTTGTGTCCCAGCAACCCTGCTTCCCATCCAGCTCCCTGCCTGTGGCCTGGGAAAGCAGCTGAGGACAGCCCAAAATCTTAGGTTCCTGTACCTGCACGAAAGACCTGGAAGAATCTCCCAGCTCCTGGCTTCAGATTGCCTCAGCTCTGGAAGTTGCAGCCACCTGGGGAGTGAATCAGTGGAGAGAAGATCTTCCCCTCTGTCTCTCTTCCTTTCTGTATGTCTGACTTTCCAAAAAAAATAAATCTTAAAAAAAAAAAAAAAAGAGGCAAGGTGAGCACAGAGCTTGGTCCAGGGCAGAACTTCGCTGGTTCCTCTGCTTGTCACACAGGCGTCCTTCCCTTCAGATCCCACCTGCATCATGGCCCCCGTCTCTCTCCTCTGGCTTAGCCTCCTGGTGTGGAGAGCACTGCAGGCCCCAGCTGGGCACCATGTTCCGACCCTTCTGTTGCCCCTTTGCTCTCTCCTCCCATGCACTGCCCCGCAGGCACTGTGATCAGGGAGGCAGGAGCTGGAGTGGCTCGGGAGGGACCTACCTGCGATCCTTTCGTCTGGACGGCCCATACAACAGCGTGGTGGTGAGGAGGGGGTGGCTGGCCGTGAGTGCCTGGATGCTGGCTCTGCTTATCTTCCTGGCCTTAACTGAGGTGTCACTCATCCTGCTTGACTGCTGAGTTCTTCCCTCTGCATTTGATGTCTATTTACTCTACCAGTGCAGCATCCAAGCTGTCCCAACCCAAGTGGACTCTCCCAAGCATGTGGGTCCTTAAAGCCTGGAAGTGTGAGCTGCTACACCTGCCATGACGAGGTACAAGGGACCCTATGGTGGCCCATCTGTCTGCACGACTCCTCTGCCCTTCTTGGGGGCCACGCTGCACACAGCACATCTCCATGGAGACTTAAGTTCCCAGGTGAATTGCTGGGAGCCACACAGCAGCCTTGAGATCTGACCGGCCCTCCAACTGATGGGACCCTTGGAGCCCCAGGGAGCAGTGGGCAGACTCTGGAGCTCCCCTCCTGGCCTCTGTGTCAAGTCAAAGCCACTCTGGCATTTTCTTTCCCAATTGCTGGTCAAAGGCCACCTGTGGTGTGGGTGTGGCAGGGACCTATGTCAAGATGCACCATGCCTATTAGGATGATGTAGTCAGGATGTGAAGTCCTCCAGGGCCCCTCGGCAGTGATATTTTTAAGGCACACTTTCAGCATACGAAATAAAACCAGGAGCTGGTGTTACAGTGCAGCAAGCTAAGCCACTGCCTGAGATGCAGGTATCCCACATCCTGGATGTTCCACTTCTGATCCAGCTCCTTGCTGATGCTCTGCGTCCCTGGGCTCCTGCCACCCAAGTGAGAGACCCAGCATGAGGTTCCTGACTTTTGCCTTCAGAATGGCCCAGACCTGACAGCTGCGGACATTTGATGGATGGAAGATCTCTCCTCTCTCATCTCTTCCTTTCTCAGTCTCTGCCTTACAAGTAGATAAAATCTTTAAGGAAAAGAAATAAACTGGATTCCTCTCTGTATATCTGACTTTCCAATAGAAATAAATAAATCTTAAAAAAAAAAAAATAAAGAGGCATGGAGAGCACGGAGCTTGGTTCAGGGCAGAGCTTCACTGACCCCTCCCCTTGTCACACAGACTTCCTTCCAACCAAATACCACCTCTGTCATAGCCATCCTCAGGTCCCTGCCCCAGGAATGGCTCAAGCCAACAAGGAAATTAGCGCACTCTGTTCTTGTTGCATTGGCAGTGTGCCTCTCAGAACTTGCACACTAGAGCTACAAGCTGAATCTAGTGGTCGCCTGTCTTCTGGCTATATCCGAGATCACCTGGCGTGTGAGACACCCAGTGTGCTGCTGCAGGAGCCCAGGAAAGAACAGAGGTCAGAAAGACCAGGACGTACACCCATTTAATTCAGTCTGGCCCTACTGCACTTACAGGGGATGACCACTGCCGCCCAGCAGCCCAGGCCTGGGGGAAGCCATGCATCTTTGACTTAACAGGTCTTGAATAAGGAAGCTATCTTGCAAGATTGTGGGACAGGTTGGGTCACACCTGGACTTGGGCAATGAAAACCCAAAGGGAACTTGTGCTTGCTGGGTGCTGCAGATAGGGCTGTGGCTACATGCTCTCAGCAGAAAGAAAGAAAGCAGAAGAAACACTGTCTGAGTGAGTGAGGATGTGGCTTGGGGACCTGCACAGGGCTCACAGACCACTGAAAGGGGTTGCCTGGTGGGAGCTAGCAACATTTTAAACCTGTATGCTCCTTAATCTTTGGAAGAGGGGATTTCACCATTTCAAGATGGTGACCTACAAAAATGTGAGCGCAGGTGAGCAGAGACAAAGATGGTCACCCCTGGGAGTTCTGCTTAAAATAGAATCAGGCTGTATGCAGATGGATGGGTCAGACCGCCCGTAGTGTGTGTGCGGCTGAAGTAACCCACCAGTGGCCAAACCTAGAAAGAAAAGGAATTCAGTTCTTCATGAGTTCTGGGAACCAAGCCCAAGGCATTTAACCATTGTGCTATGGGACGGAGCATCTTAGCCCCTGGGCCACACTCCCAACCCAGATCTACCTCTTAGTACCACCATGTGGGCAAGTGTTCCAATAAATACATTTTAGAAACTCATGCATTTCAGCCATTGCTCTGAAGGCATGACTAATGGTGAACCCTAAGTGTAAAGCACCACCCACGCACTAAATACAATGAGTGGACCTGTGTATGCCGAGGCAGGATTTCAAAGCTTTACTAAGCTGCAGAATCACATGCCTATGGGCCGGTGCGGTGCTCTAGTGGCTTAAGTCTTTGCCTTGAACATGCCGGGATCCCATATGGGCACTGGTTCTAATCCTGGTGGCTCTGCTTCCCATCCAGCTCCCTGCTTGTGACCTGGGAGAGCAGTCGAGGACGGCCCAAAGCTTTGGGACCCTGCTGCTGGCTTCAGATTGGCTCAGCTCCAGCCGTTGCAGTTACTTGGAGAATGAATCAGCAGATGGAAGATCTTCCTCTGTATCTCTCCTCCTCTCTGTATATCTGA